CAGAGCAGAGGGGCAGAATCCCCTCCCTCGACCTGCTGGCCACGCTGCTTGTGATGCAGCGCAGGATACGATTGGCCTTCTGGGCTGTGAGCGCACATTGTCAGCTCATGTCCAGCTTTTCATCCACCAGTACCCCCAAGTCCTTCTGGGCAGGGCTGCTCTCAGTCCATTCATCCCCCAGCCTGTATGGATACCGGGGGTTGCCCTGACCCAGGTGCAGGACCTTGCACTTGGCCTTGTTGAACCTCATGAGGTTCACACGGGCCCGCTTCTCAAGCTTGTCCAGGTCCCTCTGGATGGCATCCCTTCCCTCCGGTGTGTTGACTGCACCACTGAGCTTGGTGTCATCTGCAAACTTGCTGAGGCTATCTATACCAGCAGTCTTTTATAATCCTTCACACTTATTTCGCTATAGCTTTGTAACCTTTTGGCTTTTCACTGCTGAGTGAAATGAAATAAAAATGATCCAAAGGCAAAAGTGAAGTATCATACTTCAAAAGATCATTCTGTTTCTTTCTCTTATCAGAGAAATATGCCAGCCACGCTTAATTTTAATCCATCTTTGATATCGTAGAATTCTGGCAAATAATGCTAAAGCGCAGTATAGTTGTAGAAGTTACACAAAGTCCTAATCATTGAAGCAGAAGGGGGGTGGGGAGAGGGGAGAAAGTGTAAACAGCCATGTAGTACACTGTAGGCAATGGCAAACCAAGCCCTTCTTTTGATGGCCCTGAAATTCCCCTAGAACAGCATTTTAAGACATGTATTTCTTTTGCTTCAAAGTTTGTCCTTGAATGCCACTTGATGTGTTCCTTTCATTTTTGTTTCGTTGGTTGGTTTGGTTTGGCTTTTTCTTTGTTTTGAAGTAAAGGTTCTCTGGGCTCTTCAGCACCGGTTTTCTGGGGCTGATAGGGCTGTGTCTGCAGTTTGAAGGGCTTTGTGTCGTACAGATGTCACCCTAGTGCAGTTTTCTAAATTTTTGCCCTTTATTAATTTACAGGTATTTGCTGCCATCTAATGTTGGCATGAGAGCAGTGAAATTTCTAGAAGAACTTTGTTGGCTAAATATATCGATTGAGATTGCCCTAGGCTGCGTAACTAGTAACTGTTCAATTTCTTACGCAGTTGGCTCCTGATCACCTGACTGACTGCAATACCTCACTAGCAAAAGACACATGGACTTTTGTAGTAGTTACGGCTAGTGCCACAGGAGACCTAATGTATGATTTTTGATAGAAAAATTATTCGGCCTGAAAACATTTGTTAGTATTTTGTCATTTCACTAGCACCTTTGTTTAAAGTACTTTCTGAGTAGCTCACACCCTTTATCCTAACTATATCTTGTGAAAATTGCTTTTTTGTCACTGACGTTGATCAGCATGCAGCTTTATTTCTGTATTTTAAATAGAAATTTCCATCAGTGAATCTATGGATTATGTTTGGGAGAAGTAATTGAAGGGTAGTGAAATTGGAAAAATGACAAGGAATGGATTGTACATGGAAAAATACACTACTTCAGTTTTATTGGGAATCTGCCAGTATTACTGATGGCCTTAATAGGATCTCAGTCGTAATATTAATATTTCTCAAAGGAAGATTGAGCAGAACACCTGAAGCAGAGTTGATTTGAGGCTCATCCTATACAGAACTGCATGTCCAAGTTTTTTTGCACAGCAAAGCAAGGCATTCATTCACTCCTTCCCATGGGCAGGCAGGTGTTCAGCCATCCCCAGGACAGCAGGGCTCCATCACACGTAACGGTGACTTGGGAAGACAAACGCCATCACTCCGAACGTCCCCCCCTTCCTCCTTCTTC